GCGAGAGTAAAGCAAGAAAAACTCTCTAACGATCTCTAAATAGGAACTTAGTCACAAGGCAGGGTATGTCTTCCCATTCTAGGATCCTACAGATAGGCAACAATGGAAAAGTTACATATGAAAGAGATAGTCAATTTCTGAAGCATTCCACGAGCATGTTGAATCTAGTATGCACATGGCAAGCCTGCTACCAACTAGTGTACGTGCACATGTTAAATAATACATCCGGAAGGATATGTGAATTACCAATGTCCATAGGACAAAATCCATTTGAAAATAATCAGCATGAGGGAGAGAAAGCTTTCCTGGCAATGCAAGAAAGTTCTGGTTAGATCTAAAGAAAAGCACATTGCCATCTCTAAATAAGACTTAGGAACAAGGAAAAAACTATCGACAAGGAAAAAAAATGAAAAATAGAAAAAAGGAAGCAAGAAATTAGCATGAACAACCATCAAAGAAAAAAGCTGAGGGTCACTATATTCACAATAAGGGATTTAACCTTGTAGATTAAATTTGGCCTTAAAAAAGTAGCCACTAGGTCTTAATCCCCTATAAAACTGACATTTCAAGTCTGCTTTACTTCAAAATGGAGCGAAAGTAAAAATATAATTAGACAGCAAAAACACCACAACAGTAATCATAAACAAGAAACTAATAGTTTCATTCCAGTCCATTAAACAAACCAAACCAATTTTCTACAATGTTAATTACTAGATAAAATATTCATTGATTTGGATTATCATCAGTCATAACAATACAAATGCCAACATGGCTATAAGTAGCGCACTGTATAAATCAAAAAGACAATGATGTGTATAAAAATGGTCTAATATTCAATTATGGATGAGAGCTTAGATAAAGGTTAAAAGATAACTGAGCAAATATTAGTGAAACTAACGAAAAAAAATTTAGTCCCCAATGTCACACCTCCTCCGCCGGGCTATCCCACAGAATTAGAGTAAAAAAGTGAGAAAGAAATAATAACCCATAGTGGTAAATACCCTTGAAGATAGTCTTAGGATTAAATCCGTCCAGGGAACAATGCATTTCTCCACCCTTATTGGCCAATACATCAAACAGTCATTCAGCCCTTCCCATATAACAAACTATCCCATTGTCCGTGTGGAAAGCACCTTTTGCTCCGATACTGAGAAAAAACAAATCATTATTATTATTCTGATGATGTTTCTTCTTAGATTCACGAGATAAGAAATCTAAAGGATAAAAGCAAAATTAAACTAATTCCACTTAATTCCAATTCTAAAAGCCTGTAATAAATTATATAACCACTAATACGTTGGTTATTAAACAATACCAACTCCGGCTAGCCATATTCAAAGGCATTGCAATTGAAACACTCAAGGCAGGATGTGGCTTGCTTAATCAGAAATGTAATTGCTCCTGCAACAAGGTCAAGCAGGCATAAAATTACGAGAGTAAGACGAGGTTGGATGATAATTGTAATTTTGCTAAAGTTTAACATAGAAATTTTCTTTCTTCTAGATAATAAAATTTAGACTATTATCACATAAAATATTATAAGAAATAAAAAGAAAGGTACGAGCATATAACCCAAAGGAAAAATTGATTTGCGAATTAACAATATTATATCAATCAAATGGCAGAGAAAAATCGTTGAAGTATTCCTTCGAAAACAATTCCTTGGGATTTGATTTTTCCTGACTAGCATCTTAAAATGGAAAAAAAAAAAAAGAATCAAAGAAATAAGAATCTTGGAAGAAATTTACACCTTTTAAAACTAGAAAACTCATGTGGATTCAGTAAGTCCTGAGCGTCAAAAGTAAGACGAAATAATCGACGTGCAAATAGTTGAAAAGCGGAAAGTGTGTAAGGTGGACATGAGTGGCGTTAACGGGCGGACAAAGGGCTGGACATGTGCCTTTTCAGAGGAGCTCAAGAAAACTAGTTGGGCAGAATAGCGCTTAATACGAATGAGTTGAAGGTTGTGGGGTTGGAAATTGGCGGCAAAACGTCGGGATGATATAAAGTGAATATTTGTGGCACGGGAAATGTAATATAATTATTTAGATACGCACCAATAATACCCTTTCATTTTCTTTTAAAAAACGTCAAAAAAGCTCCAAATTTGTTAAAATGCACTACAGAGTTTCCTCTAATGAGTTCGAAATTGTTCATCAAAAAATACAATATACCAGAAAAAGGAAATGAATAGCCATATTTCAAGGAAATTGCTTCAAAAAGTTACAAATTGAAATATCCCCACATTTTTTAAATTAAAAAATAAAATAAAACAAACATTTTTGAAACATTTTTATAACTAATAAAAATCAAAAATAATTATAATTCTATATATTAATGTGAAGAGTAAATGAGCTTTTGGATCATTTAGAATTTTGTCAAACGATTAGCTAATTATATTATTATATAACATTTAAATCTTTTGTAATGTAATAGGATATTGTACTTCTAAATGTTCTAATATATCAGCAAAAATTGTATGAATTATTCAACCAAAGTTCTTAATCTAATAACAACTTATTTCCAACCCATTATTGGAGATAATATATTCTCAAATTATTATTGAAAGTTATTAAATATTGGAAATATAATGTAAATATTTTTTCAGTGGGGCTAGTACAATTAGTATTTAGATATAGAAGTAACTAAAAATTGCTATATAAAATAATTATTTATAATTAGGAGGATAAGTGTATTATATTGAACCATATTAGTCATGGGGATTATAGTGTAATCATAATATTTATATATAATTAATAATCAATAATTAATTCATTACATTAATCTAATAATAAACTTATTAAGTGCAATCAAGGAAGCAAGTCAATAAGGATTTTAAAGGAAGAAAAAATATATATAAACTCTACACTCAAACCATCATTTCCTATTAAGTCCAATTAATGCTTTTTTAATATATTACATTCAGGTATTTCTGTAACTCAAAAATAAAATCGACACCATTAAACACTCGATATCAAAATGACAACCAAAAAATATGGATAATAATAATAATAATAATAAATTATTAAGGCAATCAAGGGAAGCAAGTCAATAAGGATTTTAAAGGAAGAAAAAATATATATAAACTCTTACACTCAAACCATCATTTCCTATTAGTTGCTTTTATTATATTACATCAGTATTCTGTAACTCAAAATATCACCATACACTCGAATCAAATGACACCAAAAATATGGGAAAAAAATGTTAAAATATACCCAAGAAAGGAAAAAAAAATCACACAAATCGGTTAAATGGCTTTCTTCCAACAGTGGCAGGCATAGATACTGTTGAATCCACACTCAAATTTCCTACAGACTGAACTGATTCATGTTTATCCAAAACCCTTTGAGAAGGTGAGTCCTTGCCACCAGAGAACAATGACCCTTTGTTCCACTTGAAAGATCCAATGCCTTGTGTTAAAGGAAATGAAAGTCTCCTCTTTTCACTGCTTGGAGTCCCTGGAAACCTCTCCTTTGGATTACTATTAGGTCTTGCTTTCGCTTTTGCTGAAACTGTAGGAACCATATAGTTTGGCACCGAAAAGGGTGGGCAGCTCGTGAGGCTATCGTCGTCCTTCGATGGTAAGTCGAAAGGAGATTCGGCTCCAGTACTAGCTCTTGCTCTTGAATATTTTGACATGCTTGAAGTGTTTGCTTGTGGAGTCCGGTGTACGGGCGTTCGTGCTGGTCTTGTTGACACAAATGCAACTGACTTACTTGATCTCGGTGTTGGAGTATCCATACTATCAAACTGATAACGTTGTTGCTTGTGGTTGCTTGATGATGGTCGAGGACTAGGCTTCAGCTCAGAATGTGGCCTCGGGGGTGTAAGTTGAAAATTCTTTACGGTTTGGCTTTCAGGAAGATTTGTTGCTGGAAGCTGACGCTCTAACCAGTTCCACCACCATGGGAAGCCATTTGATCGGATGTCTGTTAGAGCTGACTGAGCAGATTTTGGAGTTGATTTCCATAACTGTCAGCAAATAGAAAACAAAATTCTAAGTTGTGTTCTATGACTCAAATCATCCAAAATGTGTTAATTGTATTATAGAAATGCTAAGTCGGCCGTGCAAAGAAAAGATTAAAGAATATATAGCTAGGCTGTAACATTGATAGACAGAACATGTAGTGATTCTGCAAAAAAGGAAGTAATATAGCAGGTTAAGCTTGTTCATCTAACTCCAAGGAATGAGGAAGCTTACTATCTTGCAATTATTCTAGCATTTTATCTTTGTAGGTTAAATCTAACATGATGTCCTTTCTATAACTAATAGAAAACCTGAAAGAATATGAGAATGCAATAATCTTTCTACACAGAAAGATATTGTAAACATGTACAAGTTTTAAATTAACAAAAACAAGGTACAATATCATTTGCTATGGTCTATGGATACCTGGTGGGAATATGCATATGCCATGGCTCTTTCCCTTTTGACAACTGCATCCACCTTTCTCTGCAACCTTGCTTCAATTTCCTCTTTTGTTAGCAGGCTGTCATCCCAATCTTCATTACCTGCCTCAGACTACAATGGTGGACCCAAAATCATAATTTTGCAATAACTGGGGTAAGTGACTCAAATTTTTGGAACCTAGACTAAATCAAACTGCAGACCACAATGATTGAAGTGTACAACATGAACAACTAATGAAGCAAATGGACAGATTACAGGCCCAAAAACTTATAGCTAGTTAACGGATAGAAATACGGTCACAAGTCACATGAGGGACTTACTGCCAGGCTCCATTTTCCCAAGGTACTCTCCACTTCTTTATCATTTCTGTATTGAGCTTGGCGTCGTGCTTGGTTTTCCAACATCTGGATCCTCCGTGACTGAATCTGAGATTGAACCCGGACTAAGAGTTGCATGTATTTCATAGCATTCATCGTCTGCCGCTTCACATTTTGTCCTCTTACAACTCCTTGAAGCCTCACCAGACCCTTGAGAGCTCTAAAGCTCCGTCTTGCCTGTGTTGAGAGATCCATATAATGTCATTTTGGTAGTAGTCCACTAATATTGCACTATAACACAAGTTAACTGCTGATGCAAATGAAGCAGCACGAATTTAAATTGCAGGGTTCAATTTAAAATCTCAATGTTAGTAGCTGCACTTACATACGCAATTAATTATTACATCAAACTCTACTGCAAAACATGAAAAAATTGCCATTTCATAGTAGGGAAGGTACCAGTAGTAGAATTAATATGGAAAATAGAAAGAAATTAGGGAAAAAAGAAGTGTACAATATAGCCCCTATAGGCTGCTTGGATCTTGGTAGCTGAAGCATGGTGGTTCCTGAGAGTTGGTTCTGGTCTATGGTATATCTCCTTATGGCGATGGACATTCCTAGGAGAAGCTGCCCTCGGGGAAGCAACCCTTGGAGATGCAGCTCTTGGGGAAGAAACTCTAGGAGAAGCAGCTCTTGGGGAGATAACTCTTTGAGAAGGAACCCTAGGAGAAGCAACTCTGTGAGGCACAAAGGGTGGTGTTTTAGGTTGCTCAGGAGGTGTAGGAGGCCTAAAAATTAATTTATGCTCCCTCTCAGCTTCATCCAAAATTTTCTCAATGCTACTTGGTTCTCTAAACAATGGAATGAATGAATTGGTATCTCCATGCCTTAGTTTTGCTAGCCCCTTCTTCTTCTTTTCTTTTGTGCTTTTCTTATCTGATTCCTGCAATGTGGTTTGTGACAGTAGACAAACCAAGCCATCATTCAGCTGTTAACAATTTGAATTGCACTCATAAAAGCAACAAAATGCTATCATTCTAGGTAAAAATTGATATTCAAAGGACACAAATTATCTAAAATGTTAAATATAAAGGGCTATGAAATTCTTTTTTCCCCTTATCGGCATAGTATGAAAGCCAAGCGGCTAAACATATGTTCCGCTTCATTAATTGGAAATAATACACATTTTCAAAAACAACATTATAATTCATATATATAAATCATTTTTCACAATCTTTTCAAAGGCATGCATACAAAACACAAAGCATTTCTAGGACAACAGAAATACGCCTCAAAGATGGAAAGGTTCTAAATTACAGTTACATCAACTTCAAAAATAACACAATTTTTTCTCTGTTTCTTAAAATTAATCCACTTACATTAGCTAGCTTGTCTTTGGAGTGGGTTAAAAAGACCCTCTTGATTGCAGAAAACCAACTCCCTTTCTTTCCCATGTTCCAAGCATTACTGTCTGTCTACCTGGATGGGAAGATTAACTGAGTAATCAACTCTCTGCAGGTCCAAAAATATAAACCTTTTCTTATCTGTGTATGCATGGGCTCATAAATGTACATATGTAAAAAATATCCACCACAGTTAAATTTTGACAACCAGACTGATATATTTAAATGTCGACTTGACATATGACAAAATATATTAAAACCATGAAAGAAAAATTACAGGTGGAACCATTCAGATGTGACAATTCATAGTTTATCATGTCAATTGCTACATCTAAACACCATTAACAAGACTCACTTGGTTAAAAAAAGTACCAGATCAACACATGATGGGTAATTCTTATCTTCCCAAATCACTGCAAGTGATCTGCAAAGTGTAATGGATGGGGTATTTATAAACAAGCACCAAGAATTTGAAGGAAGAAAGTTTGGCAACTAAGTTCCCAGTAGAAATTTGTTAAGGAACACGTGTATACATAGAGGATAAGGTAAGATAAGAAGTGAACAGAGGAATATTCAAATTGAATTAAGATATCTGAGCCATAGAGGACAGAGATCCTCCATCTTTTCATATCAATCACAAACAAATTGATGGTTTTAAAATTAGTGCATAAAGAAATTATAACCATAGATGCACATAGAAGCAAGAAAGTACTGACAAAGCAAAACTGTGTGTTAACACACTAAAGACAGAAATGTTTCTTGTCTTCTATATAATAAACAAAAAAGTATTGATACCCTTCTCCTTTAAAAGACTTTTCTTGTTCTAAATTAGAGAAAATAAAACAATTAAATTATAATAAACTCTCTAAACACAGAGGAAGAGAGAGAGACGAAGAGATGAGGAGTTGTTGCAGCTGTATTTTCAGGTGCTAAATCTTATCCAAGAGAGAAAATTATAAATCTCTAAGAAACAAAAATCTGACACTGAACAGACAAAGGGGATCCAAAGACAGAAGGGATCCAAAGACAGAAGGAATTTAATAGGGGAAAAAATAATCTAAAAAACTACAAGATGAGGAGTCACAAAACAGTATCAATCTCTCTAAAAAGAGTAAAAATGCATCTTTTAAGCATTTTCATCTCTCTTTAACATAATTAACATAACAAAACAACAAAAAATATCACATATTCCAGAAACAACATACCGTACTCACACATATCCAGAAAAATCTTTGCTTGAAGAGAAATAAAAAACAAAGAAAACAAGAAAAATTATCTGTTGATAAATTACCTTATTCAAGACCCAATTATGCAAAGAAGCCTAAAAAGACAAGAAAAAATTAAGAAAAAGGAAGGAAAGAGCAGCAGCAGCAGCAGAAACAGCAGCCAGAGAAGACTCTGTGACTCTGTCTTTAGCCTCCTTCTCCTTTCCTATAGAACATACTGTTGTTTTCTTTTGAAATCTTTTTACTCAATAATTCCCATTGGTTTTTCCTTTTGGGTTCTTGAATTAATTTGATTTTGTTTCAAAACAAGAACTCCCTCCTTTCTTTTTCTCTCTGTTTCTTCTTTTCCCTTTCTCTCACTAGAAATACTTTGAATCAGGTTCCTCTTTGCTTGTATGAATTAAACTTTTCTTTCCTTAACACCTTTCACCTTTTATTGGATTTATAATATTTTCTTTATGGGTTGATGATCATGATTATGAAAGAGAGAGGATGGCCCCTTTCTCACTCAATGGGTAGAGGCCAACTTCAACTAACTTTACTTGAATGGGAAGACTATTTGGACAGCAACAATCCACACACTGATTAAAACGGTTAGGTTTTTGGTACTCTGTTATATTCTTTATTATTATTATTATTATTATTATTATTATTATTATTATTATTATCATTCATTTTATTATCATTATTACGTTAGTATGATAGAGATCTTACACTAAACTATCCTATTTTTTTACTATTTTTATAACCAAAAGAATATATGTGGTATAACTTTATTCTTCTCTAAAAAAAATAAAATAGTATTTTTCTTATTTTTAAATCAAGTTTTATTGCTCTTCCAAACATATTTGGAACTGATTTGTATTCTAAGTAAATTTTATTTATATATGATAAATTTAAAATTTAGAGCCTTCATGATTAAAAGGATTTTATCCAATATTATTGATTATTAATATTAATTTAAACTCAAGTGCAAAAGTTCGTATAAAAAATTATAAATCAGTAAATAATTAACCGGTAAAATAATATTATATTTTCAGGTCTAACTTTATTTATAAAATGATCTTATCTAAACAATATTCCGAGCATACGAATAAGTGTATAAAAAATTAGGATTTCGCGTTAAAAGTTTCATTGGTCACTGGTAAATGTCTAAGCGTGTTCCTCACGCTCCAATCATGAGCAGTTTAAGTCTTTCACGCAAACATTCTTCTGTTTCCATGTGTTAGGCACCTGGTTTATTGTAATATTTTCTATTATATTAACGTAATAACATTCAACCGGAACCGGTCTGTGTCCTCACTGATCCCCACTCGTTTTCAGAGATAAAAAAGTGAATCTGATAAAAGTTACCTAAATCGTGACGATAAATTCTATAAGTATTTTTTACTGTTGAATTATCCATTTGAATTTTTTTTCCATTTATTAATAATTAATTAAATTCAAAAATATAAAATATAAAACAAAAAATGGGAAATTAATAAATAAGGTAATTGTTTTTTTGTGATTTCAAAATATTATTTCTTTCAAAATAAATTAACTTCCTTCTATTAGACGCTTGGCTTATTTTGACAGTTGTTAAACAAAGGAAGGTTGGTCAACTTTTTTTTTTTTTTTTTAATCAATGATAAATTAAAGTGACATTATAAGCTAGTTGGGTCAAAGGCAGACCATTTACCATAAACTAAAGAATTCATAAATAACAAAAAAAAATATATATATTTATCGTCTAATTTCAAGTATAGAATTATTTTAATAATTTAGAGAGTAAACCTACTTATTAATTGAGTTAACCCTTCAAATTGTCGAAATAATTATTATTTTTAAGAAATTTTGATTGAAAAATAAATTTTCTTTTAATATCTAATAATTGTTTGCTATAGAACAAGAAGTAATATGTTTTATGTTGCAAGTTTAATTTCATTTTATAATTCATAAAGGGGTATTTGGTAGAGAAAAAACAAAATTGCATGTTTGTTGTTTTGTTAAACGTGTGTAGTTGATCATACATTTGACTTTGTCTTTATAATAAATAATACTTTTGACCTGGCAAATTAACAAACATGTGACCTCCAAAAAAATCTCCACCGGGATTCAAGTTTGGGTCGAATTTTCTTAGGACAAGTCTAAGTCTGCTGACCCCGTTAACTTCTTGCTACTTTTTTTTTTTATTATTATTTTTAATAGTTACGTGAGGTATTTAGATCCGTGTCCATTTTAACAGTTTACAAATCTAACTAATCATCATTCGTCTTTGGAGAAAGAGACTAGCTTGGAGAAGTTTGTATTGCAGAGGATTAAACCGATAACCTAAACCATAGTAATCAACTCTGCAAGTGTTCTTTACCACAGAACTACCTTATTCGGGTTTGCTATTACTTTTAATTTAAGTCTTTGTACTATCCATTTTAACATGTTATTAATATTATTATGATTAAAATATTGCAAATTCATATTCTCAAATCAAAAAATATAATGTGATGTATTAGGCTCATTTTCCCTTGTCGCGCTCGATTCCAACCACCTGACAGTTTTGTCCGCAGGTGAAACTGGAATCCATTCTATAATTTCTTTTAAGCGAACACAATTAATTTCGGAGTTTTTTAAATTCTCCAAGTCATTCACCAAAAAGTGCATTTGATAATTAGTTTCTTTTTTTTATATATATGTTAAATTCATTCATGTATCCCGCATTCTACTATCTTAGTTAGTTTATCATCCTAAAAGCTAGTCAAGAGTTTTGCTCTTCCTGCTCTCTTAGGATTACTTTACCGGGTCAGGATGTCACATACCTTGTGAAAAAAGACCTATCTTTAAAATATAGTATTTTTTTAAAAAAAATATTTTATTTTCTATTATTTATTTGCAATATTGAAAAATATATTAATTAATTTATATAACCTAAAAGTATTTGAAAACTTGTAAAAATTTAGCATTTTATTTGATTATTGAAAAAAAAAAATAATGATTTATAGTAATTGTTTTAATAAGAAATTTGCTAGTGGCTATTGGTGGTAATTGATGATGATAACAATAATGATAAGTGATGATAGATAAATTAGTGAAGTATAATATAATCAAATAAAAATTTATAGAATAATAAATAGAAATTAATTTTATTTTATTTCATAAAAACCTCATTATAGACTTATCATAATCTATTAAAAATTTAAAAATTCACTTATGTGATTGATGTTTTTTTTTTTTTCTTTTTTAAGGAACATAAACATCAAATTACACAATGCTAAAGAATGTGATTAAGTGACCTTAAAAAGTTCTATAAATAAGGAAAAACTCCAAGAAAAAAAAAAAGAAAAACAACGTAAAATAAAACATAACAAGTAATATATGCAATCTTCTAAATCAATTTGTTGTTATTTCTGATAATAACTTGTCATAACTACAAATTTTATTTTATTTTTCCATTTTCTGTTTGGGGTTGGCTATGGGTCACTTCATGTTCCCTTTCTGGCTTAGTTTTCTCCCCATGCAGCCAAAACATTACCTTAATATTCAAATGAAGGAGATAAGAAAAAAAAAAAAGACTTTATTTGGTTTACAGAAAAATTGGTTGTCCAAATTCAATACGACTTATTTATTTTGTTTATAAAAAAATTATATTAAAATTAAATTTCTACAGGTATTATTTATAATTTTCATATAAAGTAGCATAACAACATATTAATTTAACTTGCAGATTGTATTAACGTTAATTTTTTATAACAATTATATTCATATAAAGTAAATTGTGTATATATATATGAAAAAAAAAGGACTACTAGGTGTGTTAGTCACTACTCCTATCGGCTCGGGCCACCGGTCAAGTGTTAACGTTCCGATTTAAGACAATCCATAGGCCTCACGACCCTCAAGCATTGATGGGAGACGCTGTCCCTTTCTTGCAAGATCGCAGCATTCAGCCCACAACAGTAGAGCCCGACCTAAAACAATATATATATATATATTCTAGCTAGCTTGTTTGAGTTATACGTAAGTGAAACAGACTTGACACTTAAATTTAATTGCAGCATTACCTGAATTTAGATTATATTTGTTAAGCTCTCAGAAATTGAGGATTGAGTAAATTGTGAATTTGCCCCTCTTTGTGGTATATATACTGGATCCAAGATAATTTTGTATTAGGATAAGGATTATGAATTATGTATTATCTGTTAGATAGAGTTTATTTAGGAGTCTAGTATTGTTTTTTTAATATATTTTGTTATTGTATATTAACAGTATTCCCCCTTAGTTATTTGATTATTTATGTCCAAAAGATGTTGTCATGTGTTATATTATATGTGTATACTTTATTTTTTATACTGTGATTACTAGCTATTATAGGTTCCTTTTTAGTATGGAGTTCCTTGTCTGTTCTTGTCAGTTCAGCGGTGGTTTTGTTTGGGAGAAACGGGGTGATGGTTCGTCTGCCTAAGGAGAACCTCAAGAGTCACGTTCTTTCAGTTTATTTAATCAAGAACTCTTTTATTTATCCTTTTTGTATGATTTTGAATGTTAGCTTAATTTCAATTTCTAAGCGTTTCTGATAAAGTGTTTTCCACTGGGGCCGAAGTAGTATGTGTATATTGTCAAAGCAAAGTTCTCCTTATCATCCCTAAGTGTGAACCTATTTAAGTTACTTTAACTTGAAATTTTATGGCTAAGAGAAGTGTTTTAACAGAAGGATTGCTTAAGTTCGGGCTGAAGTGGAAGAGTACTTAAGTCCGAGCTGAACAGGAGGACTGCTTAAATCCGAGCCGAACTGGAGAACTGCTTGAGATATTTAGGCAAACTGGGTATGTTCGAGCTATAGACTTAATCAATAGGACCGCTTAGGTCATTTTGGCAAACTAAATATGTCCGATCTATGGACTTAATGAATAAGACCGCTTAGGTCACTTTGGCGAACTAAATATGTTCAATCTATGAAATTAGTGAATAGGACCGCTTAGGTCACTTGGCAAGCTAGGTATGTTCGAGCTATGGACTTAGTGAATAGAACCACTTGGGTCATCTGGGCGAACTAGATATGTCCGAGCTATGGACTTAGTGAACAGGACTGCTTAGGTCATTTAGATGAACTACGTGTGTTTGAACTATGGACTTAGTGAATATGACCACTTAGGTCATCTAGGCGAACTACGTGTGTCCGAACTATGGACTTAGTGAATAGGAATGCTTAGATCATATGGGCAAGCTAGGTATGTTCAAGCCATAGACTTAGTGAATAGAGCCATAGACTTAGTGAATCTGGGCGAACTAGATATGTCCGAGATATGAACTTAGTGGATAGGACCACTTAGGTCATCTAGGCGAATTATGTGTGTTCGAACTATGGACTTAGTGAATAGGACCAGTTAGGTCACCTGGGCGAACTAGATATGTCCGAGCCATGGACTTAGTTAAAGGACCGCTTAGGTCCGAACTAGAGAACTAAAAATATGCCAAAAAGTTTCTAAATGAGATCTTTCAGGAAAAACTTAATGCATCATTCTAGGCGGAATATGTGTGTTCGAAATATGGACTTAGGTGAATAGGAGCC